CACCGACAGAGGAGGAGAGTTTTCCTCGGCTAAGTATAATCTAAGTTGCATCGATAGAGGAGGAGAGTTTACCTCAGCTGAGTTGAAGATGCCGAACTACTTATGGGTTGAAGCTATGGTAGCCGAGATGGAAGCTATCATAAGAAGCAAAACGTGGGAGCTTGTAGCTATCACAAGAAGCAAGATGTGGGAGCTTGTAGATAGACCGGCTGCTAAACCTACATGGTTAAAGTGGATCTACAAGATTCAAGGAGCAGATGAAATCAAGATAAAGGAGGAGAGTCATGCTCAAGGAATCTGGTGTGACACAGATATTGCAGTGTGTAACTCGACTCAAGTTCCAATAGAGTCAAGTTACAAGTTGTCAGAAGTTGGAGACGAACCAGAGATAGATGCTCAAGGAATCATGTGTGACGCACAAATAGAAGCGCGTAACACAACACATGTACCAGTGGAGCATGTGGTTAGACCGATTGGTGTTAAACATACAGAGGTATGTAACACAAAGATGGAAACGTGTAACACTACTCATGCAGGGGTATGTGATACACAGATGGAGACGTGTAACACGACTCACGTATGTGACACAACGACAGAAGTGTGTAACACAGCTCACGTACGCAAGATGGCGGAAGTGACCAGAGCGAGTTTCAGCTGCAAGACTCATCGCAACTTAAGTGAAGAGGTCAGGAGAAGGTTCTACAAGAACTGGGCCAATTCTAAGAAGAGGCGATACAAAAGTGAGGAAAGCATCCAGTCTAACCTTGAGAAAGATGTGAATACAATGGGTGGATTCGCATACTATCGTGTGGTGAAGGATGATTACTTGAAGATTTAAGTTCAAGCAAATGAGGAGCTTAATTGGAGTTCAAGAAATTGATCTCCCTAATTCAAGTTGGAATTAAGGGGGTGATTGTTGGGTAATTCCAAACTTGTGGAAACTTAACATATTATTGGATGTTTAATATGTTAAGGATAAACACAATAAGGAAATCTAGAAATAGGAAAATGAAGTTTTCTATTAGATTAGGTTTGTGTTTTCCATATCCCACATGTTAAAGGGAATTGTCTCAACTATAAATATAGACCTTATGGAGAGGTGTTCCATAAGAGATCTAAGAGAAACATTGTAAGCTTTAGTTTTGAGTAGTTTCTAAAGCTAATAAGAAAAGTTGTTCTTATAATTCTTTGTTTCTAGAGATTTGAATTGGTATCAGAGCTTAAGTTGAAGTTCTGATTCAAACTTGAATCGTTGGATTCTTTAAAGTTACATAAATAACAATTTGTTAACAGTTAAAACAAAGTCACATGCAAGTTTTAAATGATCAGATCTGGAGAAATAAAAATAAGAAAAGTAAAAAAAAAAAGTTCACATGAGGAGGTAGAGTTAAAACCCGAAACCGCATGACCAGTGACGTGGAAATTAAAGACCGACACGGTCCTCCATGTTCGAATTGAACTTCTGAAAATGCATCTGTAAACTCCTTTTATGTTTGTCGTTAATGATAAAGCTTGTAATTAGTAAAAAAGTAACGTACATCTAAGTATTCATATATCTATGGAAAATAATGAGAAAGAGGAAGAGATCCAATTGTTAGATTTCACATGAACTGATCGGAACGAGTGAACTATTGTTAAAGTGTGAAGTCACCTGCTTTGGAAACTGAAGCCTTCCCCATGTTTCATGTTCTCTTTTTTATCACCACACAAACATTGCCATTTGCCATTACCACTCCATCACAATAATACGTAGTTAATACTCGTTCCGTTTCAGATTATTTGTCATTCTAGGTTTTTACACACAGATTGAGGAAACATTTAATTTTACATATTTTCAATACAAAAACACAATTATCAATACACCTAACCACTTTTCAACCAATAGAAAAATAGAATATCATATAAACATAATAAATTTTGTCTCGAAACTCTAAAACGACACTTATTTTAAAACGAAAATTTTTCTCTAGAATAACATCTAATTCGAAACGGAGGGAGTACTACTTAATACCAACAGTGTACATATAAAGCTCTTGGATATCATGATTTACATTGTTTGCAAAAATAAATTCATTTCTTAAGTTTATTTAAAAAGAATATTATATCATGGGTTCAACATCTATTTTATACTTACTAACTTTCAGTATTACAAAACTTTGACATAAATCTAACTTTTGCAAATTTTCATGTTATGGTGTTATCAATAACAAAAGTGTTTACTAATTGCGGATTTGAAACGCAATTCCAAAAGCATAAACTAACATGGTTTTAATAACAATTTAAGTTAAGAGGAGGTCAAACTACAAGTGATAACCCAACTCGAGGTTTTCCAAGTTGGGTGTATTAAGAAACCTAAAAGCATATGATTAGCCAAATAATATAATCATTTAATTAATTTCAAAAATATGTAAAAAATAATCAAAACAAGATTCCCAAATGTCATCACCACCTCTATATATCTCCCTAACATCCAAAACCCACCATGTATCCATCATTACACAACACATAGATAATAAAAACATACAAAAAACAGAGAAATGTCTTCTTCTGATTCCACCATGGAAGCCAAGAAGTCAAACAAAATCAGAGAGATCGTAAAGCTTCAACAGATTCTAAAGAAATGGCGTAAAGCAGCTCATGCATCAAAACAAGCCAGCAGCAAGGTTGACGATGAAGAAAACAGCAATAACCTCAACAAAACTGGAAGTGGAAGTGCAAGTAAGGGCATCAAGTTTCTGAAGAGGACACTATCCTTCACAGATGTAACAGCTGTTCCTAAAGGCTACTTAGCTGTCTCTGTGGGGAAAGAGGAGAAGAGATACAAGATACCAATGGACTACCTTAGCCACCAAGCTTTCCACGCGCTGTTGCGTGAAGCAGAAGAAGAGTTTGGGTTTCAACAAGCTGGTGTGTTGAAGATTCCTTGTGAAGTTGCTGTGTTCGAGAGCATATTGAAGATTATGGAGGACAACAAGGCTGATGTGTACCTGACCACACAGGAGTGTAGGTTCAATGCAACGTCTGAGGAAGTGATAAGTTACCGTCATCCTTCGGATATCCCAAGGACTCCATCTCATCAACCTCACAGTCCAATGTGCAGATAACTTTTTTGTTTTGTTTTGTTTTGATTTGTTTGTTGATTGCTTTGAACCATTCTTCTTCCTCTTCCCCATGTTTCAAGTTTTTCACTTGGGGATTTGAAACTTGTGTACTCTGCAACTTCAAAGAATGAGAGAGAGATTTTTGAATAATGAAATGTATAAAACGGATCATTTAAAAAGTTGAAAAAATATGAATATTTCTCTTCTTCTTTTTTTTTTTACATAAAGTGAATCAAGAAAGTAAAGATTCAAACTTCTCCTTCATCAGTAGATCCATTTAAAGCAAATTTATAAGAATCACTCCATTCACCATTTCTTTTCTCTTCTATGGTAATTCCAGATCTCTGTTATTTTGATATATTATAAAGTCAATCCTTCATCTAAGAGGATAACACCGTACCAATGAATATGAAGGAGAATGTCTCACATGGGTAGTGTAAGAGTGAATAATCACAAACATCTACAAGGTCTAGTTTCCTTTTTCAACATCTGCATTTTTCCTGTAATGGTAAGCATGCTCTAGTGGCTAGAGCGTAAGCTAAGGCATCCCAAAAGTTACATAGCTGCTTAAGTTACACTAGAACACCGTGCTATTCATATGGAAGTTTTAAGTCACATCTCACATGGTTAGGCTGAGGAGACCCTGATACAAAAAGACAAAATGTTTCTACTATGCACCATCTATTCTTTTACCGGAAACTACCCCATGTGTATTGATGTTGCAGTTATGCCAAGTAATCAGAGGTTTAACATAAACTAATGTAGTAACTAACATCAATTATTTTAGTGTGAAAAGATAAAGAGTACCTACGCCATTGTACTTTTCAAGTGGAGACTTGTTAAAATTATCTTAGATTAACAAACGTTCAGTAGTATCCTATGCTTTTACAACCAAAGCTAATGCTACAATAAGTATCTTAATTAGTGAATATAATAACAGAGTCACAGCATCACATGCAACATTTACTCTAAATTAAGCACCCCTCCATTATTGAAACCACATGCAATTAAGTGATTTATCCCTAACAGAGTACGGCAAAATCCAAAGGAATGATCTTGGTATCATCCCAATATCAATCAAGATTCAATATAAGAGATGAGGTATTTAGGGAATGATAGGTTTCTCTCTCATGGTCAAAGTCAATGCTTAAAGCAGTGAGATCTGATAAAACGGAAAGGTCACATGACATATGTACCCTGAGAGTTAACACCCATCTTAAGCGATCACCTAATAATACATATGTCATGATCTCGAGGATACTAGTAATTATGTTCCGTATACGACACTAGACAGCAAGATCCAGCAAAGAAAATTTAACATGAAGAAAAACCATTCGCCTCGAAAATCTTGAAAAAATTCGTTGTGATTGTACGTCCATGACTCATATTAGTTTACTGCTTTTAAAAAGATTTGGTATCCAAAGTTAAGAACTAAAAGACAACATAGAGAAACAGAAGATTGTTAGCATCAATCATTATAGACAGTAAAGATACCCATTTGCGCAATAACCAGCCAAGCACATGAACGAACTGGTTACAGAGCAGTTATTGCTACTACTTACGTGGCCATTTGCGTTTTTCTTTACAAGTTACAGTCGAGTTTGTTGGATTGTTATGGTGAACACAAAGCGGTCACAATGGGCCTATATTGGGTTGTTTATGGATTATTAAGGGCTATAAATCAAGCTGAAATATGGAAAGATGGGAAAGTTTCTACTAACAGAATTTGAGCAAAGAGCAATTAAAACCATAAACAAAAGACGATTTCATTTTAAAAGATAGACAGATCGGATCAAATCCAAAATAACCACAAACAGAGTTTAGAGTAGGACATTGGTAAATGTAACGCAACATCTAAAACGTTTGTTTAACAGAGTAATAGAATGATCGTTGTTTGCATCACATGGCCATTGGCTCAGGACCAGCAGCGTTTAAGATGTCTAACAAAGAGTTCTGGGGCTCCAACTCCTCGTGCCAGAGCTGCAACTTATCCCCGGGGTAGAAGTTTCTGGTGACCCCCTCTGAGTTTATCTGTTCAAAAAAACATCAAAGCAGTTTAATTAACTAGGTTATATATAAGTTTCGCTTGAGAAAGTTGTGGTCAGCGAGAGATCTTACTATGACAGTCCGTACAACACCCCCACTGGCTCCATCACGAGCAATGGCTAGTGAAACCGCCTTCACAACAAGTTGCTGCAAAATACAATAGCAAGGACCAATCATAACAAATTGAGTTTTCAGAGATGGTTTGCATCTGCATATATAATGATCTGAACCGCCTTACCTCGGCTTCTTCTTTGGTCATGTTTTCTTTCCATGCCTGATCAAAGAATCCGTATAGGTAACTCGAGCCAGAGCCTACACAAACACAAACAATTCCATTAGTTTCTAGCAGGAAAGCTGAGTTATCATATAAGCAAATAAACAAAAAAAAAAAGAGAACTTAATCGAATACAGATGTGTTAAAACCCAAAGGTCATAAGACGCAGAACAATCTAGTTTTTTTACCTCCAATAGCAAACGGTTGCTCCACCACAGTTCCACCGAGAGGAATCCCGTAGATCTTGCCGCCTTCATACTTATCCCATCCACCAACTATGAGGCCAGTTTGTAGCATGTTCTGCCCGACAAAGACATACAATGCTTCAGTAACCAAATCCATATAATCAAAACAAGGAATAACTATACACACTGTTAAACAACATGGATAGATATGACTGAATACAGAAAACAAAGATCGTATATATATATATACACACACAATATAATACATACTTCTCGACCAACGTATAATTTTTCTACATTTCCATTTTAAAAAAAAAAATTTCTTCAGACTAAAGAACAATTATTACAATATTCATTCTTCATATACTAGCAAGCTTAGAGAAGGACATGTGACATCAATCTCAAATTCTCTATTGCACCAAAGCCATATAGCAATAAGATGTATGCAAGTTGCCATGTTTCTCATAATCACACTTCCAAACAAGAGTTATCAGTGATTCTGTAGAGCATGTTTTCTCTACAAGAAACGACCCTCGTAGAAACAACACCCACATATTCCCTTTACAGAAACAGCAAGCTTAAAAGCAAACTAGTATACCTTGTTATTATAAGCGAGCATCCTGATAAGGTTGGCAGAGACCTTTACAGTGGCAGGCTGTCCGAGCTGGATTCTGACAAACCATAAGCAAACGATTGATCTTATCTCCGAGTAAATATGACAAAACATAAAAAACCAAGTAATGTAATCACGTTGAGAATCAAGGAAAGAAAGAAACACTCACGTATGCTGGTGAAGGAAGTAGCGAACATAGTCCGAGACAACCTGAGAATCAGCAGCCTGCAAAAGAAAACAACACGAGCTTGCGATAGTCAGAGAGTGAAAGAGCATAGCAAGAAACCTCAAAAGCAAAGGACTTTCAATAAGAGCATGTGGTAATCAGTAAAACCCAATTGAGTAAAAAGTCTTTAGCAAGCAAAAAGAGTTTTTTCTTTTCACATAAAAAGAAACGAGACATTACCGAACCAGAACGGCAGACGTAGACATTGTCAGTGAGTTGTGTGATCTTGTCTGAAGCCCGATTCGCTACGTACATCCCTGCGCAGAGTAAATAATAACAGATCCCAATTTAATTAGCTTAAAGACAAACTCAATTAACAGAATATAAGCCCTAGAAGAGTAGAGAAGAGGAATCTTACCGGTGCTGGTACGTGAGTCAGCTCCGAGAACGACACCTCCATTGTAAGTGACGCCGATGATGGTCGTCCCCATAGAGTGTGGCGCATCGAGATTGAGATCCATCGCTGTATAATTCGAAAACTTGTATTGGACGAAACGAATCCCTAAGTTAAAAAGAGAGTTTCACGACTAAAAATCTCAGATTACGGTGATGAACTGATGAGAAAAGAACTGACTTAATCCCCAAGTCGGGTTCTGTCTTTTTTTTTCTGAGCTTCAGTTTATTGGGCCCTGATAGAAACGTTATTTACTTACAAGTTCAAGCCCTAACTATCCTCATGGACCTTTCAATTACAGGCCCAACACCATAATTGAGTTAAATAATTTTATAAAAAAAGTAATAAAGTAAATATTAGGAAAATATCCCTTTACATTAGCCAGGGGAATCTGTAAGCTAAATCTTTATTTTGGTGTGAAGTGTTAACCATTTAGCCATTCATTAGTTCACTAAATTTAACAATTGTACAAATAGAACCCAAGTATTATTGATTACTAAAATCTTTCACATGTACTAAATAGTTTATTTTAAATTACTTTGAAATTATCTTTTTATTGTTCTTCAAAAGGTGCTTGCAAAGCTAGCACTCGTTAGGACAACACGGAAGACTACAAAGAGTTCCAAACGAACAAAGATTACGTTTTCTCTACTCAACCCCAAGTTTGTTAAAATAGAAGCTGCTTTCACAAGTCACTTGTCTCTCTAAAGCCAATTAAAAGACGAATGCAAGAGCTATATCGTAGTGGCAACAGCTTCAGGTTGGTGAGGAAGTATCTGATGAGCCGTGGGGACATTGATCTTTGACTTGTTAGCTACACGGCTCGCTCTTGGTTCCTTCTTCGTTGAGGACTCCGCAAGAACTTTCCTCACCTCGTTCGCCAGCTCTATCACATAATCCTCCTCATGCCCTGTATCAAACAACAACACATCAAGAACAATGTCTATGTTGTGTTGGTTATTAATGTTTTAAGAAAAATGGAGCTTTGGACTAACCGATGTCGTGCATTGCCTTCTCTAGCAAGAAGAGATAATCTCTGTTGTTGCCACATGGTCCATTGGCTGTCGCAATTTGTCTTTTTACATACACAACACAACTAGCTAGCGTGAGGACAAGAATCTGTTATATAAATTGAAGAAGTTGATGTGGAGGCTGCTTAAGTGTTTTACCTTGCCATGTCTTCTAATGGCGCAGGTCCAAGGTAATACTTGTTGGAGACCTTGTCTGGAGTTGAAGTGAACCTGAAGAATGTTAAAAAAAATTGCATCAATGACAAATCACAATACAAACTTTAGAAGAAAAACAAAAGACATAGCGCCATTCTCGAGGACCCGTGTCACTGAAAACGAAAGAGAAAACAACTTACACTATCATTCCAGTTACAGCTGGCTTCAGGGGATCATCTTCCTGTGTAAGTTAAGAGAAGAAACCTTTTGAGGTCGAAGTATTTGGAGCAGAAGAGGATAGACTTATTAAATAGAATCTGGCATGTTGTGACTCACCTTATAAAAGTCTACAAATGTCTTGAGATCATATTCGCACTCTCTACGTTCCAAGTACTGTTCATAAATAGAATGATCAACACAAAGTCATATGAACATGAAAAAATAAAGCGAATTAGTTTTTTAGAGGCAGAGACATACCTCCATAGCCAGACGTTCTTCTTCTGGTCCTCCACGGACACAGAATGCAGCACCCCACTGTCAAGGAAAGTATTGGATTGTTAGTCTAAAAAAAGAGGAAGTAAGCAGACCTCATGAACAGACTCTAAGATCCTTAAATCACATAGACACTCAAAGAGTTTCAACTTACGCATATGGCTTCTTCATCTATCTCGAGTGTGCAAGTTCTTGCAGGGTGTTCTGGTGTACCTCTGTGATCGATGCAAGCTAACAAGTCGCATCAAACACAAAAGAATCATCAATAAATGAGATGGAGCAAAAGGAACAAAATTGTTTACTTAAACTAAAAAAAAAGAGAAAAAGCGTTACCAAGATCAAAGACACGTTTATATCCCTTGATGAAACCCAACACTTTTTCATCGTAGTTAAATCCAGGGTTCCACACAAGAGAGCCATATCCAAAGACCCACATCACCATCTTCTGCAGTTATAAATGCTGTAAAACACCCAAAAGAAAAAAAAAATCTAAGATTAAGATACAAAATGATTTTGTGGAGGGTAAATGCCGGAGAAAAAGTCACAGCATGTAAGGCAAGAGACAAAAGGAACACATGTGCAATGTACAATCAAAACAAATCACAAGTGGACCAGCGTTCCAATGGTTACATGAGCTTTAAACGTCAACAGATAAGCTCAGTTTCAGGGTTCTCTTCAGGACAGCTCAGACAAGATTAAGACCCAAATCTTCTTTGTTTCAGTTCAAAGAACAAAGGGGAAATAATAAAGTTTAGGTAGCTTAAGGGTTTCAATGAACCACCAAACCTAGTGGACAGGTGCTAACAAAATCTACCAAAAAGGGCCTAACTTTTTCTACACAAGTTTGGTGCAAACAATGATAACCAAACAGTAAGAACATTTCCTCCTATTATTAAGAACATTAAAGCTTCACCAAATAGATGAATCGTATGAGAAAATGCAACATAAGCTACCTAAACCGAAATAAGGAAAGATAAACGAACAAAATAAAAATCAAAACTTTTACCCTCGGGGATGATCTTCGTGAAGAGAATAGCCCAATCCAACAGCGAGACAAGATCTCCACTGGTATTTAGATTAGATTACAACCCGAGAAAAGCTGAGAAACTCGTGGGAGGAGAGATTGAAGAGGAAGGTCGAGGGAACGACGTCGTTTATGTTCGTATGGAGTTGGTAATGGTAGTGATACCACTCAGCTCCTTTCTCCCTCCTCTCTCTGAATCTCTCTCTCTCTCTTATGTTTTTTCTTTCTGCTCTCGAGGTGTAATAAAATGAGGAGGAGGAGTTGTGGAGAAAGAAGAGCACTTATAGAGAGAGAGAGAGCCGCGTGTCATGAGAGACATGTTGTATCAAGTTCCATCTGGTTATTTGTCTGTTACATGGTCCTTTCGTCACGTGACGGGCCGGTGAAGACGCTTGTCTCTGCCCTTTCTTCAAAACCTGTAAAAACAATATTTTCCTAACAAAAAGAGAGATACATTTAGAAAACTTATTTCCAAAATATTACCAAATGACAAAAGTTTGGAGAATTTATCTATCCTAAATCCTAACTCACAAAAGATGTCCACATAAAACTTTAAAAACAATATTTATAGAAGTTTTGATCTTTGAAGCAAACGAAGACACAACTAAACACAAAGCACACAAGAGTCAGAATGTATGCAGATACATAAACAACCATACTTTTGGGGGCTTAACTTAAGCTAGACAATAAAACTATTTATCTTTAACTATTCCCATATGGCAACTTAACAATTGCTTGTTCATAAATCATGAATTACGCCATAACAGGACTCCCAGGAGACTAAAATCAGATAGATCTGTCTTAATTTTCTTAAATCATATTTGACAAAAGGAAAAGAAAGTCTATACATGGGTATTAGAGCACCTTTATCGCCGTATTCTATGGCGTCTCTTAAGCTATTTTTTTTTTTAAAAAAAATGAAAAATACATATTTACGGAACAAACGTCTCCTAATTAGGAGAAGAAGAGTCCGTCTCTTCTTGGCCACGTGTCTGCGTTGAAAAAAAAGAAGTGTTTCGATTCTGCGTTCTCTTCTCTTCCTCGCTTGCTTCCTCCCTTCGTCTCTATCTCTTCCTCTCTACCCGGAGAAACCAACAGCTATGGCCACCTGACACGCCAATCCGAATCGGAGTAATGGGCTGCGCCCAGATCGCCCGCCAATCTCACGTGCCATCCACCTCGCTCCAAGCGCCACCATCGCCGCCGTAGCAAGCCGTTCCTTGGAAAAGGCCAAGTCTTTGGTCAGCTTAAAACCGTAAGTTTTTCAATTTGATTTCGTTGAAAATCAATCTTGTTTCTTCTGTAGAAGATAAAGTCTCTAGCATTTATGAAAATTATTCAGTTTCTTGTGTGTATTCGATGTTCATGAGAATCGTTCAAATTGCTGCAGGTTAGGGAATCATTGAAAATGGAAGAGGAAGTAAAAAACGGAGGGTTTCGGAAACACATGAAACCATCTGTATGTTTCTTATCTTCCATTGATCTTTTCTGATAATTATGATCTGATTTTGTAGTAGTGTGATTAGATAATTTTTTTTTGTTCTCTGTTTTGAGGTTTGGTTTATGTTTACTTTTGATGAATCATATTCGTGGTATTGACCCTGTTCTTACAGCTTCTTGAGTTGAAATAGATTGTCTCCTTTAATTTACAAGTGTTTCTTTGTTTTGATTTGCTTATCAAGTCTTAGTTGATTGTAAAGTTTGGTTCTTTTGATCTTGTTGTTGGCTGTGATTCCTGAAGTGATCAGTTGATATAATTGTATGGTCTTTGAGTACAGTTCTCAGGATTATTACTTGTATACAGATAATTATGATGACCCATTTGACTTCTTTAACATATCAGTATTTATCATGTTTGGCGCAGTCTAAGAGAAAAAGCACATAAACACAAACACATGTTCTTCGTTGTAGCTTTATTGCGTTAAAACCTCTAAAGAAGTCAAAGCTCAAAGAAACAAGAGGAAGATGATGTTCATGTTCATCCGTCTAGTATCTGCGGGAAAAGTTCTATTTATCTCCTCTTCCTATTTTAATGTCGTTGTTGTGTTGATTGTTTCCTTTTGTATATGTGTTACAGAGTGTCCACTGGACTTGACTTCATCAAACTTCATTCTCGTCGCTTCCGTCTGCTCCAACAACACCCATCAAACTTCACTCTGATTGTTCTGTAAATTTGGTTGCTTTGGATCATGTTTGAATGAATACTTGCTACTATGATGGTATGGGAGATGGTAGTATGGAAGATAGGGCAAGTGTTGAGAATGTTTATTTTTTTTTAAGAACCTTTAAATAAAAGACTTGCAATGGACCACACAAATATATATGTCTCTTAACTAAGTCTCTTAAACCACTTTTCTAACTAAAAATTAATTAAAAAAGATTAAGAACCCCTAAATGAGTATGTGGGATAATGATGCTCTTAGTTTTACTGTGAAAATACTCAAGATTTATTGGGCATGTTGACGACTAGTATAGCTAATAGTTTGTTTCTTTTGCTTTTTTTCATGAGATTGGGCTTTGGCCTCAAGTACAACTCTTTTACTCACCAACGGTACAAATGTTTTAGACATTTATCATGTAATGAAACAGAATTTGTGGACATATTGAAATGACAACATTGATGGACATGACTGTTGATGGAGATAGTTGACTTTCATATACTTAGATAAGACTTTGAATATTTATCACCAAACATTAGAAAACACTTTAATCGATCCAAGGTCAGAACTGTGATTAAACCCATCAAAAGCACAGTCAAGACTTACTTGGTTCCACGTTCTTGAACCAAGCAAGGAAACTTCACATATAATTAAGCAGAGGCAATAAAAGGATATATGCATGACAATTGCTGTCCTTTCGCCATCAGCCGTCCTTACATTCTTCTTCAGGCGAAAAAGCTTCACCTCCTCCTCTGATATATCTCCCTTCTTCCTCTTTCTTCAGACACACATCTTGTATTTTTTTCAAGAACTTTTCTCCGGCCATAGAAATGATCAGTCATTTCGTATACTCTCTCTTATTATTACTCCTCGCTGCCAGCTTCTCCGTTCCTATCTCCGGCGACACTGACGCTGATGCGCTTTTGAAGTTCAAGTCATCTCTCGTGAACACCACTGTCCTCGATGCCGATGGATGGAGTTCCGGTGTCCCTCCTTGCACCGGGGACACAGGAAGCGACTCAACATGGAAAGGAGTCATGTGCGAGAACGGCGTCGTTTACGCTCTCCGCTTAGAGAACATGAGCCTGTCGGGGACGCTTGACTTGCAACCGCTAGTCTCAATGCATAGTCTCGAGAGCGTGAGCTTCATGTACAACAGCTTCGAAGGGCCGATGCCACGTGGAGTCGACGGGATTGCGTCGCTTGTGTATCTTTACTTGGCGCATAACAAGTTTTCAGGTGAGATCGACGGTGATTTGTTTGATGGCATGAAGGATCTTGTGAAGGTTCATCTTGAAGGTAACATGTTTTCCGGTAAGATTCCCGAGTCTTTGGGGAGATTGCCGAAGCTGACGGAGTTGAATCTTGAGGATAATATGTTCACCGGGAAAATACCGGAGTTTAAACATAAGAGTGTCGTTACCGTTAACGTTACTAATAATCAGTTAGAGGGTCGTATTCCGCTTGCTCTCAGCCAGATGAACACCACCTTCTTCCAAGGTAATCATCATTATCATGTCGTGTTACTTTCATTAGTTTTCATAATATATGTTAGCTTATGGATATCAATCGATAATGCGATCATTTAGTTTCGAAAACTTTAAAAGTCATCAACCATTAGTCTAGTGACTTAAATTCTTTTTTTTTTAAAACAAGTTAATTTTACGTGGTCTTAATATCATCTACACTAATTCCATAAATCTTGTGATATACTAACATTTACACTGTAACTGGTAAACTAATATGGAATTAATGAAATAACAATAAATGGAATACAACAAAAAAATGGAATGAAATTCATTCCATTCATCATGAACAAATTTGCTATGGAATATTTTTTTTGTATTTTAGCTAATTATTTTTGGAATTAATGAGATAACAATTTCATTCATAGGAAATGATTAAAAAATGTGGAATTAATAGAATGAGCCATTCCTCGTCATTCTGTTCCAAAATTTTGTAATCCAGTTGTATAGTATTTAGAATATTCACTCTCATTTTCTTTGTCTTTTTAGTTTTGGCTATGTGTAATTGTAGATTTTATTTTTGTATGGTATCACAAGATTTCTATCTTACCGATTTATGACTCCGAACGGATTTCAATTCTTCTCGGCTTCTAGTTTCATAAAAAACATTTTCCTAGCTAGCTGTGATGTGAAAAATTTAAGTTTATCAATATAGTTCCAAAAATGACAAAAAATGAACTTCATGTACCATGGGGGAACTTTGAACTTATTGTTCATGCACTCTTTGAATGTAGTAAACACAACGTTTTGAGTTTTCTACGTGAAATTACAGAAAAAAACATACTTGTTAAATTGACACAATGTGCAAAATGATTAGTTTCCTTTGAAGAATCACATGTGAACATTTCTCTTAAGCTCATTTACACAAAAAATAAAAACATTTCTCTTAAGCTAGCTAAATTTTTAATCAGCCACGTAATATCTCACAGTTCAAATAATTCATTTGGGTCTAAAACACAGGTAACAAGGGGCTGTGTGGACCACCTTTGCTTCCCTGTAAAACCCGTACCCCGTTGCTTCCCATATTTCTCCTCGCAATCACTATCCTCGCCGTCCTAGTACTCATCGTTGTCTTCTGCTCAATCTGCATCTTCGGCCGTAGTAAACACAAAGGCAGCAGCGAACACGATCTCGCCCACAGCAGAAGCCTCGGCACAATCAACGCAACATCCGAACAACAACTCAGCGAAAAAAGCTCGTTGGACTCCAAAGTCTACAGGAAACTAGCCAACGAAGCCGTGCAACGAGACTCATTAGCAACATCATCAATATTATCCGAGGCAGCTTTGCCTCGGGAGGAAGACAAGAAAGGAGATCAAAAGAAGCTGCATTTCGTAAGGAATGATGATCAGGAGAAGTTCACGCTACAAGAAATGCTCTGTGCATCTGCGGAGGTTCTCGGAAGCGGAGGGTTTGGATCGTCGTACAGGGCGGCTTTACCGAACGGACGTGCTGTTGTTATAAAGAGGTTAAGGTTTATGAGTAATATTGGGAGAGAGGAGTTTTATGATTATATGAAGAAGATCGGACGGTTGTCTCATCGTAATCTACTTCCGTTGATTGCTTTCCACTACAGAAAAGATGAGAAGCTTTTTGTCACTGATTTCATTCCTCTTGGTAGCCTTGCTAATCTCCTCCATGGTTAGTATTCTTCATCATCTATAATGATAATTTTTTTTTAACCATTTATTGCAATATTTTTAACCTGACTGTTATAACCGAAAAAGTTTTAGATTATGAGTTAGTATGGTTCGATCTGGTTCAACAAAAATCAATTAAATTCTAGTCACAAAAAAATATAATTACATGTGGTTTTTAGATATTTTTGGTAAGTTTTATAAATAATTATGGTTATTTATCAGTTTCTTATAAAATAAATTATGAAAGAAAATTAAATAAAAAAAACTAAATGAAAACTGAATATAAAAATTATATTATAATTTCGAATATAAATTTAATATTTTGATTTTAAATAATCATCATGAGTTATGAGAAGTTAGAAAAAATAAAAAAAGTTGTCATTTAATATAATTATATTGAGTTTTAAAATAATAACAATTAATCAAATCAATTTTTGATAGCAAATTATAAATAATTTTGTGTTTTTATCGATACTGATTTTCGGTTCACGGTTTAACCCGGTTCACCTCTCGGTTTTGTTGGGGTTTAAAAACACTGATTTGTTGATGTTTTATTTGGTTAATTTATGCAGCCAAGCGGAAACCAGGTCAGGTGGTCTTGGATTGGCCTATCCGGTTAAAGGTTGTAAGAGGAGTCACTAGAGCTTTGGCTTATCTCTACACAATATTCCCCGACCTGAATCTCCCTCACGGCCATCTCAAATCATCCAACGTCTTGCTTGACAACGACTTCGAGCCGCTACTAACGGACTACGCTCTCGTCCCCGTGGTTGACAAAGATCAGTCTCAGTTCATGGTGGCTTACAAGTCACCAGAGTTCACTCTCCAAAACCGCACATCAAGAAAGTCTGATGTCTGGAGCTTAGGAATCTTGATTCTCGAGTTACTCACTGGGAAGTTTCCTGCGAACTTTCTCCGGCAAGGGAAAGGAGCTGATGATGAGTTAGCTGTTTGGGTTGAGTCAGTAGCGAGAACTGAGTGGACACCTGATGTGTTTGACAAGGAGATGCAAGCAGGGAGAGAGCATGAAGGGCAGATGTTGAAGCTGCTCAAGATTGGGTTGAGATGTTGTGATTGGGATGTAGAGAGGAGAATGGAGCTTCAGGAGGCTGTTGATCGGATAGAAGAAGTTGATCAGAGAGATGTTGGTGACAGTTTTCAAGAGAGTTTTCGATCTTCATACGTGACTGCTGATTATGAATATCGTTTTTCAAGAAGCATGACTGGGGAGTTTTCGCTCGTGTCCAACTAAATCTGTTTATTGATGTTTGTTGATTTAAGTTTTGTTGTGTCTGTTTGTAGGTAAAACCGACCACTTTTATTGGCATTCCAATTATGCCACCCAAGCACTTATTTGGCTCCACGTTGATTGGAGATCATTGACTTTCATGTGTAATCTTTCAAAAGATTTACTCTTACAAAAAAAATGCCAAATACTGAATAAGACTATAAAAGATTTAAAATCAAATAAAAACGAAAAATTGAAACACGTAAACAAGATTGTGATTAAGCCATCCAAGTACTTGGCTCCACGTTCTTGAATCTTTTCCAACAGAAAACTCACAGATTAGCAAAGCGAGAGAACGATTTGTTTTGTGACTTTTGCTGTCATCTCACCATCAGCCGTCCTTTCATTATCATTCCGACAAAAAGCAACTCATCATATAGTTTCCTTCTTCCTTTTCAAAACATACATTTTTGGTTTTTGGCTTCTTCCGAGATGATTCTTCATGACAAACCTTTGGTGGTATACTCTCTTTTCGTATTATTACTCGCTGTTAGCTTCTTTGTTCCTATCTCCAGCGACGGTAACGCTGATGCTCTTCTGAAGTTCAAGTCATCTCTCGTGAACGCCACCGTCCTCACCGGATGGGACGACTCCGGTGAACCTCCTTGCACCGGGAAAAAAGGAAGCAACTCGAAATGGAAAGGAGTCATGTGTTCTGCCGGCGTTGTTTACGCTCTCCGTCTAGAGAACATGAGCCTCACGGGGACGCTTGACGTGGAACCACTAGGTTCCTTGCGCGGTCTCAAGAGCGTTAGCTTCATGCGTAACGGTTTCGAAGGTCCGATACCACGTGGACTCAACGGGCTTGTTTCGCTTGTGCATCTTTACTTGTCGCATAACAGGTTTTCGGGAGAGATTGAGGGTAGATTGTTTGACCGAATGAAGGATCTGGTGGAGGTTCATCTCGAAGGTAACATGTTTTCCGGTAAGATTCCGGAGTCTTTGGGGAAACTGCCGAAGCTGAAGGAGTTGAATCTTGAGGATAATATGTTCACGGGGAAGATACCACCGTTTAATCAGAAGAATCTTGTTACCGTTAATGTTGCTAATAATCGATTAGAGGGTCGTATTCCGTTAACTCTCGGTCTCATGAACCTCACCTTCTTCTTAGGTAATCATCATTATCATTATATTTCTTGTTCCTTTATATTGTTTTATGATCATATCATTACTACTTTTCCACGTTTATAATCCGAAGTTTACACGTTAGTCTTGAAAACTTGAAAGCCTAATGAATGAGATGAGAGCTTCATCGGATTATTTATCTCTATCCCTGTCTGTGAAGAAGTTACAATTTTTTTTTATGTGACATAAATGTGAAAATGATTAGTTTTCTTCTCGAATCATTTACATGGGAACAATGACCATTACTCTTTTTATTTTATTTTTGGCAATGAAATTCTCACTGAGGATATCTCAATAAATTTTATTGAAAAATGAAAATAATAAAATATATAAAAGAAAATAAAATAGATTTTCATTTGAAAAATATAATAAAAACTCTAGACAGAGGACTTTATTTTCATAATATATATTTTTTCCTAGTTTAAGGTTTAATTATAACTAAATTATATCAAATTGTTATTATTATATTAATGAGATATTTATCAATAATGATGATCTAATTAGCACTTTCCCACATCATTGGGTTTTCTCCTTTAGTTAGCTAAATTATAAATGGGCCTATAAATAAATGACTTTCCCACATCATTGGGTTTTCTCCTTTAGTTAGCTAAATTATAAATGGGCCTATAAATAAATGGGCCATGTAAGATCTCACAATTTAAAATAATTCGTTTTGGGTCCAACACAGGTAACAAGGGGCTGTGTGGACCTCCTCTGCTTCCCTGCAGATACCATCGCACGCCATTAGTCACAGTGTTCCTCCTCGCCCTCACCGTCCTCGCCGTCGTAATCCTCATAACCGTCTTCTGCTCCGTTTGCATCCTCAGCCGTCGTCAACGCAGAGGCCCCGAACCCTATCACAGCCCCAGCCCCAGCATCGGCCTCGGCACAGTCTACGGACCAAGCGAGCCACAACAACCACAAAACAGTGAGAAGAGTTCACAGGACTCAAAGGTCTACAGGAAGCTAGCCAGCGAAGCTGTGCAGCGAGAGTCAACAACAACAACGTCGTCATCAGTATTATCTGTGCCTCGAGAGGGAGAAGACAAGCGTGGAGGAGATCAACGGAAGCTACATTTCGTGCGGAATGATCGGGAGAAGTTTACGTTACAGGATATGCTACGCGCGTCGGCGGAGGTTTTAGGAAGCGGGGCGTTTGGATCGTCGTATAAGGCGGCTTTAACGAGCGATAGTGCGGTGGTTGTGAAACGGTTTAGGTTTATGAGTAATATTGGGAGGGAAGAGTTTTATGATCATATGAAGAAGATCGGACGGTTGTCTCATCCTAATCTGCTTCCGTTGATTGCTTTCCACTACAGAAAAGATGAGAAGCTTTTTGTCACTGATTATATTCCCAATGGCAGCCTCGCCAATCTCCTCCATGGTTAGTGTTCTTCAGCTCCTCTTGATGATTTTTTTAGAAAACAATCATTAAAACCCCCAAATTATAAAATTAAAGAAATAACCTACAACTGGTGTTTGAACAAAAAAATTCATAATTCTCATATTTATTGAAATTCGAATAGTTAACTGATAAACTCAATTATAAAAATAGATGTATATATTAACTCCTTAAACAATGTCGTTTTAAAAAATGAACAACAAAACAACATTGTTTAATTAATATTTAATAGTTTTTAAAACAACATTGTTCAAAGTTAACAAACATATGTTTTTTTATCGAGTTTAAAGAATTAACAAAGTATTTTTTTATCGAGTTCAACAGTTGACTATTCAAAAATTTTAACTGGTCGAATAAACAAAATGTGAGAGTTAAAACGACCAACATTAAAACATTGATGGTTATTTTTAGCTCAAACATAAATTAGAGATTTTTTTTTATTTTTTTTGAAAGTTCATGGTTTTAATGGTATGCTTTCTTTTTTTTTTTGGGAAGAATCTGTTAAATTTGGTTTGGTTAAATTAATGCAGCAAACCGGACACCCGGTCAGGTGGTTTTGAATTGGCCAATCCGGTTAAAAATTGCAAGAGGAGTAACCAGAGGTTTAGCTTATCTCTACAGAACATTCCCTGATCTGAATATCCCACACGGCCATCTAAAATCATCCAACGTGTTGCTTGACCATGACTTCGAGCCGCTACTAACGGACTACGCTCTAGTCCCTGTGGTCAACAGGGGACAGTCTCACCAGTTCATGGTGGCTTACAAGTCACCTGAGTTCACTCAGCAAGAACGAACATCAAGAAAGTCTGATGTCTGGAGCTTAGGAATCTTGATTCTCGAGATACTGACGGGTAAGTTTCCGGCTAACTATCTCCGGCAAGGGAAAGGAGCTGATGATGAGTTAGCTGCTTGGGTTGAGTCAGTAGCGAGAACTGAGTGGAATGGTGATGTGTTTGATAAGGAGATGCAAGCAGGGAAGGAACATGAAGGTCAGATGTTGAAGCTGCTCAAGATTGGGTTGAGGTGTTGTGATTGGGATGTAGAGAGGAGAATGGAGCTTCACGAGGCTGTTGATCGGATAGAAGAAGTTGATCACGGAGATGCAGGTGGAGGTCAAGGTCAAGAGAGTTTTCGATCTTCATATGTGACTGCTAGTGATGGTGATCATCGTTTTTCAAGTGCCATGGCTGGGGAGTTCTCGCTCGTGTAATAGCTTCCTTTCTTTGATCTAACTCTCATTGATTGATGTTTGTTGTTTAAGTTTCGTGTTCTCTGTTTCTAGGTAAAAGACTGATCACTTTTTATTTGCGTTATATTCTTTTTTTTTTTAGTTATGGTTTGATGAGTATTAAGCTTCAAGCTTTTGTTTGAATTGTGAATACGCGTGCTCTTGTTTGGTATCATCATGTAGACGCAAAAAAAGGAATTTGTCTTTTATGTCCATTTCTTCTTCAACTTGTCCACTGATTGAGATAAGCAAGAATATTAATTTATGGTTTTTACAAGCTTTGTTGCTTTAGCTTTTGGGTAATGTTCCAGCTGGTATATTCTTTGAGGATATTTTGATTTTACTTTTACAAGTTTGTTTGATAGAGACTTTAATAAAATTTATATATATTTTTTCTTCTATATTTATTATCTTGTCTGCATGTGATTTTCCTTTATCCCCTTTTCTTGGAATTTACAAGCTTTGATCAACAAGAATTAAACTTCTGGTGAAAATCTTGTTATAATCTACTCTGTATTGAATTTTGTTTCTGTTTAGCTTCCTCGTACCAAAGGTAAATATCACGATCTGTCTGGCTCAGGTATGTTGAGTTTTTGCTTGCTACCTTTTCTCTGAACAGGTCTTCTGATACAGTTCATCGTCTTTAAAACCTGTTAATAGATGGTCTGAGTTTCAGTTGTATACTTTTGTATCCTTCAAGTTGTGTTCTCAGTTTCTGATATTTTTTAAATTTTGTCTTCATATTTATGTATGTTTGATCATATAAGATGGAACTTTGGGTGGTTTTAATCACCTGAAAAAAAACACTCAGGTTTGATTGTAGAGGTATTTAGAATATCTGAGTCTTCATGTGTTTCACTCAGTCACAAAGCATGTGATCTTTTCTCTAGAATCCCTTGGAATTGGAATTCACTTGAGCCGTTTTGATAACATATAATAATAGCATACTCCTATCATAAGGCTAAGGCACAAGCATGTCTATTCTCATATTGGTTTAGGTTTCTCTATCAAAGATTCTCAACAGAAAGAAGAATAAAGAGCATAGTGTGGGTTGCAGTTTAGATGGCAGTAACTGCAGATTATCAAGTCCAGTTTCCTGAAAATGATGATATTTACTCTATACTAGCAGCTGAAGGAATTGAGTTCCTTTTATCGCATAGTGGAGAGGTACCAATCATTCTCTCTCACTCCTTCATACCGTTCTGTGATGTTTCTATACTAAGGAACTTTTATTAAACTATAAGCTCACATCTATCAGGTGCCGTTGGAATATATTCACGGGAAAACGATTTGTCTCTTCTTCTCTGCAAACTGGTGCATGCCTTGCAAGGACTTTACTCCAGAGCTGGTGAAACTATACGAGAGTCTTCAGAAACGAGGAGAAGAACTCGAGATCATCTTTGTCTCATTTGATCATGATATGACTTTATTCTATGAACACTTCTGGTCCATGCCATGGCTCGCAGTTCCCTTCAGTTTAAGCCTACGCAACAAATTAACTGACAAGTACAGGATTGCTCGTATCCCATCACTGGTTCCTCTATATCCAGATGAAATCTCTGTCGCTGAAGACGTCATTGGTCTCATTGAAGACTATGGTCCTGAAGCGTTTCCTTTCACTAAAAAGAGAAAAGAAGAACTCAAAGCCATTGATGATTCCAAGCGTGTTGGAGGAGATTTGGAGAAACTCCTTACGAATGAAACACGGAATTATATTGTTTCTAGAAACGGAAGTAAGGTAAGAAACTTCATCTCTGTGATCTGATCAAAAGATCCTTTGTGATTATGTTTATGAACATTATGCAGGTACTAGTTTCTGACCTTGTGGGGAAGACCATAGGTTTATACTTTGGTGCACACTGGTGTCCGCCTTTTAGATCATTCACTTCTCAGTTCATAGATGTGTACAATGAGCTTACGTCCTCCACAAAAGGCTCCTTCGAGGTCATCTTAGTATCAACAGACAGAGACTCAAGAGAGTTCAACATCAACATGACCAGCATGCCCTGGCTTGCAATACCTTACGAGGACAGAACAAGACAAGATCTCTGTAGAATCTTCAACATCAAACTCATACCTGCTTTGGTCATCATAGGACCTGATGAGAAAACTTTGAACACAAACGCGAGGGAAATGGTGTCTTTGTATGGATCAAGGAGTTATCCATTCACAGAGTCAAGGATCGTTGAGTTGGAAGCTTGTTTGAAGAAAGAAGGTGACTCGTTTCCAAGGAAAGTGAAAGATAAGAAACATGAGCATGAGCTAAAGCTTGATATGGCCAAAGGTTATGTGTGTGATTTTTGTAAGAAGCAAGGTAAGTTTTGGGCGTTTACTTGTGATGCTTGTGATTATGATCTGCATCCTACTTGTGTGGAAGAACAAGAAGCATCGTTGGTTTAGTAAAATAGAAAGTTGTGGTGATTTGTCTTAAAGATTTTGTGATTTAGTAAACATTACGATCTGTTATGTTCTGAAGTTAAAGATTCAGTTAATGGACTCAAAGTTCTTGATATTTTTCTTGTCTTGTTAACAGTGGAGAGAAAATACCACAAACTATGGAACTTTCATATCATTAACAAATGTGTTATAGTTTTACAACAGTATCCTTTCTCATTACGATTATTACTATGATTACCAAAAAAGAATATTCAAATAGTCTCTATTGCTCTTCTTTCTTCATGAAAGCTCACGAAACAATTGTAAACTAGCCAAATGGCCTCACGTTGTGGATTAGAGATTACATCGCCTCCACAGCTTCTTCATCTCCTTCTTCTTCCTCATCTACTACTGTTGGCTTGGCCCTCTTAGGTCTACCACACAGTCTCACATTTTTGCCAGACAAGAGCTTTAGTGCTTTCTCAAAAGTAACATCACCTGGTTCAACGTTCTGCCAAGTACAAAGTTATCTTTCAATGAAAATGACAATCCTTTGAACTCATGCCTTAACATAATAAATCCTATAATACTATAGATGCATATCCACACCTCATTTCCTTGTCAAGTATAAGGTGAGGACACGTCATATAACAGTACATAACAATACCTTGGGAACAGTAGCCATTGTGCGGCGATGTCGAACAGTAAATCCAGATTTACTAAGCTTTAAGAACACAGGCTGGCCATCTTCAGGATGGTTTCCCTGATAGGAAATGAGCAAATCAAGTCGTTAACATTCGAAAAATGTTGAAACAGCCCACCCGGAAACACAAAACTCTAAGCTTAATATCAGTCTTCTTACCAGTGTCAGAGGATAGCGTAATAATTCGAGAGCACCTTCAAGCGTAATAGAGCTCACATCCTTTATCTGAAAAATTGAGGTTGCAAGAGATTTCTCAGTAAGAGAAGGCAAGTATTATATTACCAAGAGATTACTGTTTACTCAGTAAGAGAAACATATAGAATATTTAATGACTCCAACATACATGGGACGCATTTGCTCGTTGTGGTACGTGTCCTTTTTTGTCTTCACCAAGCTGTACATAATGCCCATAGGGGCCGCACTTCAAAATAACCTGAACAAGGAAATGGATTCAGCAAATTGAAGTTGTAAAGATAAATTGTCAACAGAAGAGAGTCAGAGCAGCGATACCTTCTCACTGGTATTGGGATGAACACCCAGCAATTTGGGCTCTTCTACGCAGGTATTCTTTGGAGTATCATCTTCATCTTCATCCTCTCCATATAGTGTTTTGGCAACGAACCTGCATATGAAACCACATAGCTCAAATTATATAGGTGTCCATGAAATAACATGGATAAATAAGAAAACTCAAAAACGTTAATAAGTAAAATCCGATGGAGAGAATACATGAAAAAGTTAGAGATTTAACAGCCTGCAACTTACTTGCACGAAGGGTAGGCATCACAACCGATGAAATACCCAGAACCAAACTTGCTAACTTTGAAGACTAAGGTGCCTTCCGAACAACTGAAATATGGAAAGAAACCCAATCATACACTCATTCAAACTATAATTAACTGCACAATCAAGTAGAAGTGTGTGCTTATACTACGCGTGAACATGTTGCCATGTATGAGGGGAGTTTATAAAGCAGATGCTCGATCCTAACATAGAATATGTGGATGGGAAGAATGTATGCAGACCTTGGGCAAGTCCGTGTGGGATCGGGAAGGGAAGAAAACAGAAAGTCTTCGTATCTTTTTTCCAACATCTTTTCCACCTGTGAATGTATATGATATGTAAGAATCTAATAGTTGTTTTTTTTGTTTGCAGAAAGTAGACTTAAAAGAGTTCATTTTCTGAAGAAAGTACCTGTTGGATTTGGACATTTTCTACACGTTTACAATACGCGCTGAATCGTGTCCAGTAGTCTCTTAGGAGACCTTTCCATTCAGTTACACCACCAGAAACGTTGTCAAGCTGAAAGGAAAATCAATCATAAGCAAAACACTGAGTATCTCAACTTGCAAAATATCTATAGAATATGTAGAAATAGCTATAGTTAATACAGCTTTGAGTAAAGAGCAAGCTAGAAATCCACCTCAGTCTCCATATCAGCGGTAAAACTGTAGTCTGTGACCTCGGTGAAGTAGTTGGTTAGAAAAGCTGAAACCTGGAAACATAGTACGGAGGTTATAAAGATAACGTTGAAATGGTTGGTTTACTAAATCATCAATTAGTGAGCTTGATTAATAAGAAAAATACCATCCTCCCACGGAATTCCGGATACAGTACTCGGCTCTTTATTGTTAGGTACTTCCTGTCCTGTAAAGAAAAATACAAAGGGGTCAAAATGCCGTCAGTGTATGACTCCAATGAAAGGAGGGGTATTGCTAATGTCAGGTGACGTTAGAGTCTCTTAACCTCCAGCACATACCTGTAAAACTTTAAATATGGATGCATATGTCGAGGGTCTACCTATCCCAAGCTCCTCAAGCTTTTTAATCTGAATAACATTATAACATGTTTAACAAATTATGTATTGTAAACCTGTGACAGTTCAACAAAAAAAGTCTCATCGGTAAAATCTCTGCTTAACCACAAAATTCAGCAATCATACAAGAAACACCATATCAAGTCATGCTTAGCTACCATCTTACTGAAACAGAGATGAATCACTGTTAACGAGAATTGTTTAAGATCTTTTGTTGACTTCAACAATAATGAAGGCAGTGTTTGGAAGATTCGGCGAAAACATTATCTAGCTGAACGGGAATCAAAATGAGCTACTGGCAACTAAGATGTGTAGTATCAACTTTTACCCTGTCTGGCGTGCTCATTTCCAGAATAATTCAGTTTTTGATACAAGAACGGTTAGTAAGATCAAGAAGGCAGAAAAAGAACAAAATATTTTGGTAAACAAAACTGTGTCAGTTTCTCATTTTCCTAATCAATATATATATTAAGAAGGAAAAGGGAATACTATACCAGTGACCCCTCGGAATAGCGTGGTGGATGCTGAGTATAGTGCTGCTTGAGTTCCACTTCACCAACATGTAGCAAATCCCCATCCTGAAAAAAGAAGACAGAAATGTCAACCACGGTGGAAAGCACTGGTAAGAAAAGTTGTGATATTGAAGGGTACATTCAACAAACTGAGAGTTTCAAAAGTTCCATCCCGCTCACGACTCTTTTCATCGTCTTTGGTTCTGATTGCCTTAGCTTCAGGGTCCTACAACACAAAACAACAAAAAACAACAAAAAACTTCTTTAGCACCAAATAGAAGAAGGATCCCTCATTAGCTTATAACAAACAAAACTAAGATTTAACCTGCAGATGACAACTAGAGAAAAAAAGGAAAACCTTATGAAAATTACTCTAAAGCCAAACTATAGGGAATCATCGAGAATATGAAAAAGGTTGTACCTCATAAATTGCCTGATATCCAAGGAAATCGACTTTTGAGCATGACGATCTGAAGATAATGGATTCAGCGGCATTTCCAATATCAAGTTGTATCTGAGAAAGAAGAGTCAGATATACATTGGATAAGTATATGCATGATTTTAAGGGCAGATTAGTACATATAGTACCTGTACAACAGAAGCAGGCTCCATCTGACATGCCACAGCTCGTGACCATATCAAGGTATATAATTTTAGAGAATCCGCATCAAGCAGGCTAGCAATCGTTGCTGGAATCGCATACAAAAGATGTTGAGAGCTATGACAGTGAATTCTAAGGTAAAAACTGATGATGACTTAAATGATTCCTATGATCTGAAGAAACAGTGGTAAATGATTTACTTACACGGTAATCTACGTATATTGGTAGGTCTAATAGCTTCGTGGGCCTCCTGAGCGTTCTTAACCTTTTTAAAATATTTACGTGGACCATCTGATGTAAAGTTCTTCCCAAACCTGCAGATAGTAAGTTAATGACTGTGAATGTTTTCTAGAGTCAAATGGACTTCCAGATGCATTTATATGTCTTACCTTTCTTCCACCAAGGACTGTATATCTTTGATAGCTTCATCAGCAATCTGATGGGAACAGAAACAAAAGAAATAAATCCAGGAAAATTATAATGAAGTTGTACCAGATAGCAAGAGGACTCAGTGAGTAACGATTTTGAAAATCAAAAGAAAGTATAGATGTCACCCACATGTAAACCATCTGTCCGCATGTATGTTATAAGACCAGTTGATTGACCATCAGACAGTTGGACACCCTCATAGAGTTTTTGAGCAAGCTGAAATGTATTCATCATCAGAAACATGCATTCAATAATAACAGCGACTATAACAAAGTTTCAGTTTCTCAACCTTCATGGTATATGCTGATGAGAAATGCAATTTGTTAGCAGCGTCCTGCTGGAGGGTTGATGTTATATATGGAGTTGGTGGATTCTTCCGTGTAGTGCTTTTTTTAATGCCCTTCACTAAAAAACTTTCTGATTTTATCCTTTGCTCAATGTCCTGAGCCTTTGCTTCAGAGCTGATAGAAAGCTGATTTAACTTTTTTGAATTTAGACTGGTCAAGTGAGCTGAGACAGTGGATGCACTATCTTTCCCCTGCACTTTGATCCCTACAGTCCAGTACTCCTGAGGCTTAAACCCGTCAATTTCAGTTTCTCTATCACATATAAGAGCCAAAGCAGCAGACTGGACTCGCCCAGCTGATGGGCAACCTGGAAGTTTCCTCCAAAGTAGCGGTGAAATATTAAATCCGATAAGATAGTCAAGCGCACGCCGTGCGAGATATGCGTGTACCAAGTCCCCGTCAATTTCTCGTGGGGATTGAAGTGCAGTTTTAATGGCTGACTCAGTTATCTCATGAAAAACAACCCTTGCTACTGTCATACTCTCATGTAAGGCACCTTGCTGCTGCAACATCTCAATGATGTGCCAGGCAATTGCCTCTCCTTCACGATCTGGATCCGATGCAAGAATCAGATTTTCAGCTCTGAGGAATAAGGTAAACAGAATGAGATAGAGAAGCACAGCAAAAAAAATAACTATATGAACGGAGTTCATATCATATTAAGCTTGAAGCATTTATATATCTGAATGACACATCCGGAAACTATTCTAAAAAGCGGATGGTAACTGTAGATTTTTAAAAGCAGCTTAGCAGATAAGAAACCGTACCCATTTAATGCCATCTTTATGCTCTTGATATGAGTCCAGGCAGAAGATGGAACCTCCCAAACCATGCTAAAATCGTCATCTGGCCTCACTGAACCAGACCTTGAGGCCAGGTCCCTGATATGACCATAACTTGGCAAAACCTCATACATATCACCAAGATAGCCCTGAATAACCTTTGCTTTTGTGATTGACTCAACGACAATAACAGATTTTCCAGTTGGAGGAAAAAGCGGTTTAGAAGCATTTTGACCTCGATGCTCTATGCTATTTTTCATGGGCTGAGCTTGAGAAACCTGCTTCTGTTTTCCAATTTTGGGCACCTCAACAATGGGATTGTTTGCCACCTCCTTCTGGAAGTGTACTGTTAGGTAAAGTAAGCAAGGGCAAAATTATTATCTCGCAAAAACTTAAAAGTTAATACCTTAGCAGATGAAGACTTTTGATTTCTAGAACCAGATTTTTTTGGCTTGGGAACGCTTTTTGAACTCTCTTCCACAGATATTGCCTCCACAACTGGTACCGCTGATGATGATTTATCATCGACTTTCTTGCTCTTCGGCCGCCTTTTTGTTTTAACAGTCGAGGCTTGCTTACCATTGCTAGCCGGTGAAGTTTCACTGCTAACATTTCCAATAACTGGTTCTGAAGAAGCCAAGACCTTCTCCTGTTTGCTTGCTTCTGTTGGAGTAGAACTTTTGGGATTCTTTGCCACCTCCTTCTGAGAACCATACTGTTAGGCAGAATACGCAAGTTTGAAACTATTATGTCCCAAAATTTTAAAAGTTTAATACCTTAGCAGATGAAGACTTCCCATTTCTAGAAACAGACTGTTTAGGCTTGGGTACAGAGACCTCTTCCAAAGCCGAAACGGTTGTAGAAGCTTTATCTTCAACTTTCTTTTTCTTTGGACGCCGTTTTGGTTTAGCAGTAACAGGTGTAGCTGCTGAATCCACTTTGACGCCACTGTTTACATCTCCAATAACCGGTTCAGTAGCAGTCACCACTTCAGCTTCAGAGGAAGCCAAAACCTCATTCTTATTCTTCTTCTTATTATTATTCCAGTTCTTATTAAACTTCTTCACAACTTTATCCTTATTCCCAGTATTAGGAACCTGAGAAAAAAACCTCCCAGGAAACAGTCCGAAACTATTACCGAAAGAACTTAAACTTGAGCCGCTCCAATGAGTGGCATAACTAACGGAACCGAGAGAAGGAAGTGCGCAAGCTAATTTAAAACAACTTGCGTTCTCTCTTTTAAACTGAAGCTGGCATACGTTTCTACAGACTCTAACTAATGAAGAGGACGATGAAGCTGGGAAACTCTGAATTGCCCTGCACTGCAACTGCAACTGCAACCACAAGTTCTCAAATGAAAAAAATTGCAACAAAGTGTAAACCTTTAGCCATAAAGAACAAAACTTTGAATCGAGAATTGGAGCAACTGAGTAGCCCACTAGAGGAAACACAAACCTTAGCCATGAGAGGACGAAGAGACAGAGGTGAAGTCGAAGAAGAAGACTTAGACGCCGCAAGTGAGAGCGTTCTCTGCATTAGGAACAGTCTGATTGATTCAGAAGGTTTCAAATCGTCCCACGATTGCTCTTCTCATATAAAACCAGACGAAGAAGAAAGATTTTGCTAATGGCGGATTAAGGAAGGAGAAACTAATCAGGGTTTACCTCTCTCTGGGGTTTATCTGTTTCTAATCCGGGTCGGATCTTGGTCATGATTAGTTGTAAATGGGCTTTATGGCCCAATAAGGTCTTTCTCCTCTGTATGTCTGTTATTTTCTCTCGCCTTCTCCGTTCTTCTTCGTCTTCAGCTAAGTTTTAGCTTCTGCTCCAGCGATTGAACTAGGTATTGTTTCTCGCTCTCTCTCTAATTCGACTTTTGTTTCGTGTTCGTGATCTCAGCTTTCCTAACTCGATGTGGCTTTTTTGGTAGTTAGATTCTTCGATAGAGATACTGATTCGTGAGTGTAGAACTAGTTGTTTTTGTTGATTCATCTGATGACAAATCTCTAAAACGCAGCCGTTTCGTTACTCGATGTTGCTTTATTGTTAGATTCTTCGATTCACCTCTGTTATAGACTCTTAGATACTGATTCGCTAGTGTAGAACAAGTTGATTCATATTGTTGATAAATCTCTAAAACGCAGCCGTTTCAGCGTTTACAGATGGATCGAAGGCAGCACGATTACGCTGCATCTTCTGGATTGCCTTATGCTCAGCAGCAACAAGTCCCTAACTTCCAACAACAACAACAGCAACAACAATTCGGATTCCATCCTCAACATCAACAATATCCACCACCAATGAACACTTCCAATTTCATGCCACCTCATCCTCCTCCTATGCATCAGCAGTTCCCTTACCAGCATCCTATGCAGCAGCACCCTCCTCCTCACCCACAGATGTTTAATCAACAACACCCTCCACATCATCACCACCTCCCTCCTCAATTCCCTGGACCTTATGACTCAGCTCCTCCTCCTCCACCTCCTCCACCTCCAGCTGACCCTGAGCTGCAGAAACGTATCGATAAGCTAGTTGAGTATTCAGTCAAGAACGGTCCGGAATTCGAAGCTATGATGCGTGATAGACAGAAAGATAACCCTGAGTACGCGTTTCTCTTTGGTGGTGAAGGGTATGATTATTACCGTTACAAGCAGTTTATCTCTATGCGTCCACCTGGTGGTCCTTTTGATCCTATGCCTATGATACATCACCCGCCGAATCCAATGATGAGTCCTCCTGGTGCCTTGGGAGTTCCGCCGATTCGGCAACCTTCTTTCCCACCGTTTCATGACCACCAGCAGATGCAACATCATCTTCCGCAGCCTCATCCGTTTGCGCCGCTGCCGCATCCTCATGCTCGTCCTGAGTTTGATAGTCAGTCAACTCATGCTTTTAGAGGTCTTTCTGGTCCGCTTCCTGCTGATGTTGCTGTGGAGCTGAATAGTGTGTTGGCTAATCTTAATGGGACTAAAGATTCTATCAAGAGTGGTAAGATTTGGTTTATGCAGAGATCTCCGTTTGCTCCGGCTTTGGCTGAGGCGCTTAGAGATAGGGTCTTTGGGACGGATGATTCTGAGAAGCAGATGCATATAGTTTATCTCGCTAATGACATTCTCTTTGACAGGTATCTATAACTAAATCACTGGTTTCGGTTTATGTTTCATTAGATAATGGTTGCAACATTATGATTCTTCTATCATAGTATTTTCTCATTTTTCCGATAATGTTTTGTTTCTTTGTAACACAGCTTGCAAAGGAGGACAAACTTGCACGAGTTTGACAACGAAGCCCTTGCTTTCAGACCTGTTTTGGGTTCCATGCTGGGGAAGATTTACCACTGTCCACATAACAAGGAAGCAAACCAGTCACGTCTGGAGAATCTGTTGCAGTTCTGGGCTTCTAAGGAGGTTTTTGATCAAGATACCATCTCCTCCCTTGAGAAAGAGATGAAAAGTGGACCACCTCCAAATTCCTTTTCTCGTTCACCCATTATAGCAGCAAACTCATTGCAGCATCCAGGTACTACTCTTCCCTGAGAAAAACATAAAACATACCTCAACCTATATAAGTTGTATTCGGTTATAGATTCGACCAGACACCAACAAGTTTTTTTCTATCTTTACCCACTTGCAGGAATGCTGCAACAGCCACAAAGTAATGTTCCTAGCACAATGAACTTAGAGCATCTAGCTAGTAATCCAGTAGCAGCCCAACAGATTCATCCTGGTGCCTTTCCGGGTTCCATACCGCTTAACTCCTCTGTTCCACCTTCAACACAACCACCTGCTGGTGAGAAGCCGGCTCCTTATCCTCTTTTTCCTCCTGGTCTGATCCCTGGGATGGTCAGGAAGATGCAGGTCGGAAGTGGTGTTCCTTACTCCCCACTCAGCCCTCTTGATATCCCGACCATCATACCACCCTCTGTTACACCTCAATCTCAAGTACTTGAGAGAGTGTCAAAGTTCTTCAAAGAGATAGGTGAGGTGAACCCAAGTGAAGGCCCCATGGGATCTGAATCACAAGACGACTATGACGATTACGAGCGGGATAGTCCAGTGCGCAAAGGAGGTGCATGCATTCCTCCACCTGCTAATCTACAGGTGGACCCTGAGACAGGAACGTATGCGGATGGAAGCACGGATAAAAAGAGCACGTCCGGGAGATTGGGACTTGGAGCAACAGCTGATCCCAACGAACCAACTCAGTATGATGATGTTTATACATCTTACAGGAAACACAGAAGTACGAATTATCACACAACCATGAGTGCAAGATCTACAGCCAGATGATCTCATCTTTGAATGGTTACTCCATACTTCAGTCTGTTTAGAGTATCGAAATTAAATCTTGTCTTCTTGTTACTGTGACAAAAATGTGATATTCTCAGCTTTGGAAAAGACTTATCAACACATCCATTTATATTCCGTTCATGTTTTTTTGCACTAAACCAGACTTGTTGATAACACATTTCATCCTTTTAATGAAACGACACAGATTTTGAATTTTTGTTAATGGTAATACAAAACCTTGATAAGTTACAGAACTTTAAGAAAACATCATATTATTATCCTTTTTCCTCATATACACTATTGTTATGTAAATATTTCGGCTTTATTTACTGTGATATTATTCAGCTTTGAAATAGACCAGAGCTCTTGAACATCTTTTGTTAACGCAAAATCTTGATAAAAAGAGAAGGGGTTTTAGTTTACTCGGTAATGTGACAGAAACACAAGTATCATAGGAACTAAACCAAGATTCGCTTGCACAAAATGGCAAGAATGAGAGGAAAAGACAATATCATCCATTCAAACTCTTAAAAGTATTCATGAGAAAAATCTGCAGAGTCTGGCAAATGATCCACGCTTTAGCTTTGAGATGAAAAGATATTAGGGAGCGAGCCTTAGAGGGTCACGAGGGAAGAGCGATGTTTTGCGGATGTTATTGAGGCCACAAAAGAGCATAACCACTCGCTCCAGACCCACACCGAATCCACCGTGAGGTGGTGCACCATACCTGTAAACATTATTATTTGAAGCTATGTTAACTATGATCACCAATGCTATAAACCAAACTGGCTCAGTTTGGGGTTTATTCATTACCTGAATGAATCAATGTATGTTTTTATTGTCTCGACATCAATGCCAAATCGTATTGCCTGTTCCTTCAAGAGTTCTGGGTCATGGACACGTTGAGCTCCTGATATGATCTCCTCACCTAGCACAGAAAGCGCAAACATAAATATTCGAATGTGCGGTAACTTAGCCGGTGAGAAAACACATAAGATAAAAACAGAAAACTTGAAGATGCACCTCTTATGAAGACATCGAATGAGTTGCTGTAGTTAGAATCGTCCGCACAGGGCATAGTGTAGAATGGCCTTACTGCCGAAGGATAGCGATGCAGGATATAGAACTCCGTATTGTACTTCTCCAAAACGAGCTGGCCAAGCTTTCTCTCAACTTCTGTATTTAGATCTCCAAGTGGATCAGCCTCTACACCAGCTTCCTGTAAACATATCAAGATTTAAGATAACCAATTGTTAGTAATAGTCCATTTAGATAACTCATCAAATCAAATGAAAAAAAAAAAAGACTAGTCTTACCTTCAGCATTTGAATCCCTTCAGCAAAGGGTATAATCAACGTTTTTGGAAGAAACTGCAAGTTTAGTGCAATTCATCAGAACACAATAATATACAAAAAGAAAACTCAGCTAGTCAGCTTCCAAATATTACTTGCTTCTATTGTATGGTTACCTTCAACTTCTGAAATGGATATTGCTTTCTAATAGCTTCAAGTTCCTTCGAGCACCTCTCTTCTAATTTAGTGAATATGAACGGAAACAACTCGCCCACAATATCCATTACCTGCACAAACAACAAGTATAAAGCACCAGCGGTAGAACATATATATTTGATAGGAAATCATAGTACAAACAGCACAAAATTACCTCAGAATAGTGCTTGTGAATCGCCATCTCCACATCAAGACCAATAAATTCACACAGATGTCTATGAGTGAACGAATCTTCAGCTCTGTAAACAGCACCAACCTCAAAGACACGTTCCAAGTCACCACATATTGCCATCTGCTTATGAAGCTGAGGAGACTGAGCCAGACAAGCAGGCTGCCCTTTGTATTCCAACCTAAACACAGCAGCACCACCTTCACTACTACCAGCAATCAATTTCGGTGTGTGGATTTCAAGAAAACCCTTAGATAGTAAGAATTCCCTGAATGCCTGCACAATCACTAAACATGTTCAGCACAAGCAAGCTAGAAGAAAGCAATTAAATCATACAAATGATAAAACTCTATCCCTAGTCTTGATGCATACACTAATAATAATTAATACAAATGATAAAACATCTACATATCAAATCCTTATAGAAGATGCCCTTACGATTTGGACATGGCACTGAATGCGGAAGATAGCTTGATTAGCTGGCGTCCTAAGGTCAATCACTCTATTGTTCAAACGTGTATCCTGGTTGGCACCAGGTTTCCCAGCCTGCAACAATCATAGAAACAACAACTCTTTAAGCCTTTCAGAATAACACAAGCAATCAAAAGTCACACGATAGTCCAACTAAAATCTCCAAAAACATCATTACGCTACCTGAATGTCTGCTTCACTCCGTGCAGCGTCCTCAACAATAAGTGGTAACTTTTGCAAGGCACTGTTGACGCAGTACACTTTCCTCACTTGTATCTCAACCTACAACAACTTTCAAAGTTATAGCATCTTTTGATATGACTCACAATAAACAAATCAACACAAATTGCTACCTGCTGCGTGGTTCCAGTAACAGTATCTTTCGGAAGAACAACGATACCAATAACATCAACAAACGATTCGCCACTCAGCTGCTTAAGAAACTTAACCATGCCGACACTCACATTATTCTCCTTCGACTCAGTAACAACACACTGAACTGTGAATCCACTCTGCCTCAAGATCACAAACCCTAACTTATTAGAAACCGGACGATTCGTGTGAACTCTCCCTCTGATCAGAACCTCTGATCCAATCATCTCCTCCACCAACTCGCTCACGTCAGTCCACTTCTTCCCCTCGACAGCCTCTCTCCACTTCCCGGCTTTAGGATCCTCCGTGGACTGTAGCTCGGTGAGAGTGACGTCACCGTAGTTTCTCGAAGACGATTCGTCCTCGAGAGAGAGAGAAGCGGTCTTGCGCGCGGCTTCTTCTTGCTCCTGGCGGCGGCGAAGCTTCTCGAGCTTCGCGGCTTCCTTCTTGGCGGCTTTCTTGCTGATCTTCTCTCCCGATTCGTCCGGTGTCTCGGTGGATGACGATGGAATCTCCGGCTCCGATGACATGGTGATGGCGATAACTCGAATCGATAGGTTTTTTCACGCGATGGAATGATGGAGTGAGAAATGTGGGAAACCCTACGGTTACGGGTTGTTTTGTGCTTTTATTTTATGTTGGGTTGGGCCTTTGTAGTGAATTGGGCCCTTTTTGGGCTTTTGATATTAGATAGTCGACAAAAAGGGAAAGTAAAATGTTAGAGAAGAAGACAAAGCGTGAAGGAGAAAAGACAGTTTGCTCGTAACTTTAAAGCTACTTTACGCGCCTTTTAATAACCCGCTTCGAAATAACAGCGGTAAGTGGGACACGTGTTCTTATGATAAAAGCGCGTGTGGAGCAGCTTCTATAAGAGAGAGTTTGGGTAGGGGAAGCTGTTCTAATAAATAAGAAACGAATTTTGACAGCAAAGAACGACGGAGACCAAAGTAAATGGGAAGCAACGACGACGACTGACTCATCTCTCCTCCTGTTTCTTGGTTCTTTAGCTCTGAATTTGGTCGGAACTAAGCTCCTACACAAACTCGCTCTTAGAGTTTTGAAGCTCTAGGTAAAACCTTGTTTACTTTACTCTCTTTATACCATCATGGAATCATTGGATCTGTGTTTGAGTTTGTGGATATTGAAACTTCTTTGATATGAAATTTGGATTTTCAACTGTGAAGATACTATTTTTACCTAGTTGGAGGAGTACTTGCTTTATTTCCTTTTAGGATTACTACGAAGCTGAGAGAATCAAGGATCTGGTTTCAGCTTGATTCACGAAAAGTTTCTTTCTTTTAATAGTAACATGTATGTTTCTATTTAGGAATGAAGATGGTGTAGAGGAACCTTAGCCTCTTGCTTTGCTTTTTGGAAGCAAAGTTATCTGTGATATAGTTCCTTTTCCGTAGTTACTGCAATGAAACAAAAGACATTTTTTTAATGATAGTAATTATGGTAGATCTGTGAATGAACTGTTTGACCTTTTGTTTCCTTTGTTACCAAGACAGAAAGCTAAAATTTTGTTTCTCCTTTTGTTTGTTTGTTTCAGGTGTATGTTGGAGTGATTGAAAGACAAAACACGTGACCTTAGATTGGAAACGATGCTTGAGGGACCAAGGTTCGATGTGCTAGCTGCTGGCAATCACAACAACGACCACAATTACTATCCTTTCACCCAAGACTTTTATCAAAAGCTCGGTGAAGAAGGTACAAACATGTCCACAGACAGTATGCAGACTAGTAACGCAGGAGGGTCTGTGTCCATGTCTGTTGATAACAGTAGCGTTGGTTCTAGTGATGCTCTCATTGGCCATCCTGGTTTAAAGCCTATGCGCCATCCCTACTCTCTCTCCGTTGGACAAAGCGTGTTCCGCCCAGGAAGAGTTACACATGCGCTTAACGATGATGCCTTAGCACAAGCGTTGATGGATAGTAGCTATCCAACACAGGGACTCGCAAACTATGAAGAGTGGACTATAGATCTAAGGAAGCTTCACATGGGTCCCGCTTTTGCTCAAGGAGCATTTGGTAAGTTATATAGAGGGACTTACAATGGAGAGGATGTAGCTATCAAGCTACTCGAGAGGCCAGAGAATAGTCCAGAAAAGGCACAAGCCATGGAACAGCAGTTTCAGCAGGAGGTTTCTATGCTCTCGTATTTGAAACACCCCAACATCGTTAGGTTTATCGGCGCGTGCATTAAACCGATGGTGTGGTGCATCGTGACTGAATATGCAAAAGGAGGTTCTGTCAGACAGTTTTTGACTAAGAGACAGAACCGAGCTGTGCCGTTGAAGTTGGCTGTTAAGCAAGCGTTGGATGTTGCTAGAGGGATGGCTTATGTCCATGAGCGCAACTTTATACACAGGGATCTGAAGTCAGATAACCTCCTCATATCAGCTGATCGCTCCATCAAGATTGCTGATTTTGGCGTTGCAAGAATTGAAGTTCAAACCGAAGGGATGACGCCAGAGACAGGAACTTACAGATGGATGGCTCCGTAAGTTGATTAGTTAGTTGAATTATGTATCACTTTCTATCCTATAGACTAATAATGTCTTGTATGTGGATTGATGCAGAGAGATGATCCAGCATAGACCCTACACTCAAAAAGTGGACGTCTATAGTTTTGGAATCGTGCTGTGGGAGTTGATAACGGGCCAGTTACCGTTCCAGAACATGACTGCGGTTCAAGCTGCATTTGCGGTGGTGAACAGAGGAGTGCGTCCAACTGTCCCAGCTGATTGTCTCCCTGTGCTTGGCGAGATCATGACACGTTGCTGGGATGCTGACCCTGAAGTCCGTCCTTGTTTCGCAGAGGTTGTCAATCTTCTTGAGGGGGCTGAAACCGAGGTATTGACGACTGTGAGGAAAGCCCGTTTCAGGTGTTGCATGACGCAACCAATGACAATCGACTAATCTGATGTGTGAAGTAAGAAGAAAACAGAGGAAGCAAGAAGGGCTTTAGATATATGTAAGTTTGTGTGTGTATTGATATTTGTTATCTGTTTGTATCTCTTTTCCAAATGATAGGAGAAGTAACCCAACCATTTTAGACCACTGATACTTTTGTATGAAGAGAGAAAAAGGATGTACTGTGACCGTCTGAAGTGTTTGGTTTAGTTTTCCTTGAATTCATTGTCCTCTAATATGGACAGATGAACATTCAGCATTTGATGTGTGATAATCATGCATGATTATGAGAATATGTTTAACTTCTTAATTACTGTCTACTGATCCAAAAGAAAGGCCTAAAAAGAAACATACAAAGTTGCTTAATCATTAGATTAGGAGTCATCATCTGTTGGTCACAGACTGCCAATCTCATACATCCTAGCTGAGGGGAGAATATGTTTTTGATCTTCCATTGTGATCAGCCCAAGGAAAGAATCTGTTGGTTTTGTTGCAAAGTCGAGAAGACATCTGTCAACGGGGATAGTGGCAATGTCTGAACAGTTGATGGCATCAAGAGTGCGGAAAGCAGCGAACAACGGATGATTCACACGGCTTGTGTGAAGAGTAGAGATTAATGTTTCTCCTCAGCTTTGCGTATATAACATCTCCCCTAGAGTTGAACCTAATGTCTGTCTGGTCCAGTGATGGCACACTTTGAAGAAGCCTCATTGTCCTCAAATCCCATACCTCTGAGTTTATGGGGAGTAGTAAGTAACTTTGCTTGAACATTTTTCAACAAGACTTTCCAACAAAGCTTTTTTCTTAATCTTATGTGAGAGTCAATTAATGGTGAAGTATCACAAATCCTTTTCAACAGGCGTTTTGGCCAACTCTGAGTTCTCTTAAGCCAATATACGTTTCAGTTGGCCATCGCATATCACTTGACTCAGCCCTTGAAGTTGTCAAGATGACCTGCAAATACCGTGTTCCGGAACCTATAAGACAGGTAAATTTCCGCACTTTGATATGCCAAAAAAAAAGAAGAAATAGTTATCCTTTAGATGACTCTGGAAAGTGGAAAATATAGCATCCACTGTTTGTAGGCAGATATAAGATCAAGAGCATATCTCCAAAAGCATCAACTCCGTCTTTTAGAAGATTCGGGACCACTCGGAATGGGTAACTTTTGATGTTTCCTTCATTCTTTTAAGTCTTGTATTACATGGAAAGCACTGTACAGCAGATAACATTAACCATTTGCTACTTTTTTTCTTTCTTTCTTTTGTCTAGCAGACTGAACATTATTCATTAAAAGAAACGAAGAAGGCTGTGAACACTTCTCCACATTGAAGTGAATTCTGCAATGTCTCTACCCAAGATTATTCAATGGTTGGCATCGGAGCTCCGCACCAAGTTTCTCCTTATATGCCACTGACTCTAACCAAGATAATTACTAACGGAGGAGTCTTGTTGTATTATAGTTGTATGTAATACATTTGAACTTCCCTTACATACTATAAATAGAAAGCGTGGGAAAGTGGTCTAGGGTCTGTGTGTTTTTACTTGTTTGGTTCAGTGTCTGTAACTCGTCTCCCATTCAGTAATAAAGAAAAATCTTTTATCAACCTTAACAGATTGTTCAATGTTGGACAGATTCATAGCACTGAAGCCTCTTTCGCAGAAAACCTTCTCCATTATGAGCTTTGATTAGTCTTCACAAGAGAAGAAAAGTAAAGATGGTGAGCAACAAAACAACTCTCAAGGAATAAGAGATCAAACAGGTAAACAGTTACATAAATATCAATTATTATTATTTTAGTTTATCAATAAACACCAAACTTATCCGAAAAAACAAGAAAAGTGTTGAGAAATGATGGTTGGGACATATCCGGAAATGGACCAGACCACATCAGTCTCACTTCAGTCCAAGACCAGGCGACAAGCACCTTATCCTTATCCATACCAGGCGGCCAAGACTTGTCATTATCCTCCCTTGTATTTATCCATATGTTGTAGTTATCCTAATCATTATAGGATTAGGATAATCATCCCCTT